AATTTGGTATAGTGATGGTTCTCATGACTAAGAGACACACCTGGGATTATATTATGGATGCATAAATATACATTACATAGTATCTTTATGGTCCATAATATGGTAAAAAGAGTCACATGTATGTTCTTGAATTTTATCAAGAAATGTAGTTGCTCATATTATGACCAATAGAAATGACAATAATTCTCAAGTTATCTCTATAGCTGAATAACTAAGGCAAATGTGCCATGTCTTGTTAACATCAAGAGAGAATGATTTGTACGCAATATTGGATACATGTTATGTATATGTAGTCAAATCCAACCGATGATGTTTTGTTTAAGTATTGCTATATCCGTTGTTAAGTGAAAAATACTCCTCTTAGTTGTCATCTTGAGGCTTCCATATGAAAACCACATTGACGGATATCTCTATAATTTTAATTTGGTATATTTTGGAATCAGAATACAAGAATGAATTCATGATTATTATTTAAGTACCAATAGGGAGTATGATAGTAGGACGACAAAAACCCACTATCATGACATCGCGTCAAGAGATTAACAAAATATTTTCTTGTCTCTATGTAAGAGTTTAGGAATATTTTGTTTCCCTATGTATAGAGTTTGTGATGCAACTGTCCACTAAGCAAAATTCCTCTTTGCATTTGGATTGACTCCCGTATAGGTCTATATATAGCATGAAAAATATGATGACATTCTTTGCAAATATATAGATTACATACAAGTTAATTAATGGAATATCAAATGTGATGGCACATTATTATGATATTCAATTAAAATTGATGATACCATTTTATATTATAACACCAAAATGGGACGAAGATACTAGGTATCTTTGTAAATGGAAGACAAATTTGGTCTCCAAAATAGATCAAGCGAAGGAAATTTCGATGATCGTGCTCTCCATGCTCATAAGATCCACTTATTAATTAAGTGTTTGGTTGCTACTTGGTTTTTTCATAAAACTTGTTGTGAACAACTAGCCTTCCTGGTGGTGTCAGGTTGAAGATAGAAACGTGCTTCATATCTTTATTGTTAAGCCAGATATTTATGTCCAATGGATTTGTAATACCGATCAATTAAATGTTTCAAGACATGATATTTTCAAGTTGTGGTTCTGTCATATTTGGGAAATGCCTTGACCCTAAAGAATGCACGGGGCTACTACTTCTTTTTGCGTTAAATCTTACCATTAAAGTTCTATGGATGGCATTACTACATGGCATCGAACTTGTCATGATTCTAAAAATTCAAGGGAAAATTAGTTCTACAGCACCGAAAGATCGCGGTATCCGGAAAATACCATTAAAAATCTGTCCATGCGTGAAATAGCACTAAAAGAATGAACTGTTTCTCAAAAATACAATTCCGTCACGTTTTGAGATAGCTCCGTGAACTCCGCGTCACGGTGGTCACAACCCCAGGCAACCTCACATTTGCGCTGCGCCGCCTCCCGGCATATGTCGGCCTCATGGCGCTCCTGTTCCCCAGCAACCCGGAGCCACTCGCTCTTCCCAGCGTTCCTACACGCCACGACGCTGCTACGGGATCCCTTCACGGGGAACCTGGCCTCCCTCCTCGCGCCGTTGCTCGCGCTGCTGTCTGCCTTTTCCCTGGCGCTCTGCTTCTCCCTCGCGACCTGTAGGCCGCCCTCGCCCGAGAGCATCCAGGATGGCGCCCCCCTTCCGCGTCCTAGGGTTCCCGGAGAGCATCACGCTCACCGTGGACGAGGTCCCGGTGACACGGTTCTTGTTTGACGACTTCGAGTCATTCTACCTCTCTGCACCTGGCTAGTTGGCCCGCTGTTCCTCGCCACCGGCAAGTCGTCGAAAGGCGGCGGCGACAAGGACGAGGACCCCGAAGGGTGCCTCGTGTGGCTCGACGAGCGACAGTTCGGGTCAGTGGTGTACATGTTGTTCGACAGGCAGGTCCACATCACCATGACACATCTCCTTGACGCAGCCGATGCACGCGTCGGCCTTGTCACGGAGCCTGCGCACGCCGCCGATGACATGCGCGGGAGCGTGGTGCTCTAGCCAGCGCGTGATATCGATGCGGCAGTCGGCCGGCTTCATCCGACGCGATAGCTGCGCAGCGCGGTGACGTTCCAGTGCGGGGACGCCTCGGCGCGGCGGGCTAGGTCTAGCGCCTCCCTGACCCGCGCCATGGCGCGAGCTCGCCGAGCTCCCGTACCGAGCGCTGGGTGTGCGGGCCGAGGCCCTGATAGAGCGGCAGCGGCGGCTTGACGCTCCGGCGCAGGCGCTCGGCGGTGGAGCAGTACTGCACCGCGTGCAACAGCTCCCGTAGGGCCTCGCCGGCCAGCTACCGTCATCGCCGTAGCTAGTAGCTTAGACTGAGCTCCTCGTCGACTTCCTCTCTCTCTATCGTCGCCCTCGGCTCCTTTTCCTCCTGTCTGTCACCGCGTTCACACATAAGAGAGGGGTAGAGCTGCTCCTGGTGGGTCTCCCGTCTCCACCACAAATTGACGTACGGATGGCCCCAGCATGCCAAGGAGATTGGTGAGAGGGTGGGAAGAGGATGACGAGTGGGACTGTCCTCTTTCAGTGAAGTGCAGTGAGCGTGAGGTGGACGCCGTTGACACCTAGTTAACAGAATGCTAGATTTCGGGGCGGATTATTACTTTCAATGGTATTTTATGTAACGGCAAGCTTTCGATGATATTTTCCGGATGTCGTGATCTTTCGATGGTATAGAACCAATTTTCCCAAAATTCAATGTACTTCAGATGATAGAGCATCACTATAATGCTAATGATGATTCCTCGATAAGAGTTTATCATACATTTAGACATGAAGTAATATAGGAATTAATTTAGAATACATTTGGTAAGTTGTGTGCTTTCGCGAAAACGCAATGTTGGGGGATATTTTGGAACAACATAATTATATTCTCAAGTGGACTTAAGATCCTAGAGATAAAGTTGTGGTCAATCATAGTTGGCATTGGACAGAATGACTGCCTTGTGTTGTTCATATCACTCATTGAAAGCTAGCCATATAGTGCTTCGATTTGCATCCATTGAGATACACATAAGTGTGACATGGATGTATATGGTGCTTTATTTAAATAAAACTCCGTATTTAAATTGATCATAAGTGGTGATGCCCTCTTATGAGGAGCATCAAATATTGCCATGAATCCATACAACATCAAGTTTAACATTACATCCATTGATCATGTTAGATAATGGTGACCATCTAGAGCAAGAGATCAAACTCTTTGCTGGCTATTATTTTAACAAGGTTTAAACTATAGATTTTCTGAATTTACGCTAAGGGTAAATTTAAAATTGCTATGGTGATGCTGTATTAATTAATGCAAAATAAATAGGAGACAAGATCTATCTCACTAATAGTGTAAACCTCATTTATGCTAACACATTAGAGGTAGTCATCATAAAGATGTAGACCTCTAATAATATGGACATAATCTGTTGAACAGTAGATGTCAAGTGGTGTATGCAATTTGTATAAACACATTTTAAGGTAATCATCAAAAGATTGATGTAGATCTTAGTTAATCCGCAAACGAATTGGGTACGCACGTTGAGGATAGTCACTAAGTTGTGGACTTAGTGTAGATCCCGCAGTAGCAACTATGGTGCTACCTTGTGTATGGCCAATAGGAATGCTGATTAATGGTAGTCATCTTATGAAAAGATGTAGACCGTATGTTCCAATTTGTGATGTTGGGTACGCACATTGAGGATAGTCACTAAGAATTTAGTGTAGATCCCATAGTAGCAACTATGGTGTTACCTTATGTATGGCCAACATACAATGTAGAACATTTGTGTTATACAAATAATGAGGTAATACACTTAATTAATTTTGCATTAAAAATATAAGCGCTATAAGCTTTAAATAAAGCATAAATGGGCTTAACATAAAATAAAAATTGCAAATAACAAAGTAGTTGTAATAAAAACGTCATGATAATAATATTATATGCTTATTGGGTTGTCAATTTGGACGAACACTTTGAATAATGTAAATATAATAATACATGTTTATTGGGTTTGCTGATTTGAACAAACACTTTGAACACGTAATGCTAATAGTACATGTTTGTAGGGTTTGCCATTTTGGACAAACACTTTGAACAATGTAATATTAATAGCACATGTTTATTGGGTTTGTCAATTTGGACTAATGTTTTGAACAGTACTAAAGGAATCTAGAAAACATAGGATCTAGAAAGCAAATTTACTGTGGTAAATTCATCTGCAGTAGTACATGCTGTGATGCAAAATTTTTTTGATGACACACGGGTCTCAAAAATACTTATTTACATGAGGTAAATATTGTACATCATAATGCATTTTAAATCTAGGATCTAAAATGAGCATTTGCTAGGGTAAATATAGTACGCTGCAGTACGTAAAACCGTGAGCATTCGTCCACAGAAGATTTTCTTGCCTGAGATGGAGAACCGTACGTTCTTCTATACTACTTCGCTACGAAGAACAGCATCTTTCCATCTATCGTCTGTGTACTGTTGTACTCATTCTTCTGTGGCCGAACTCAGTGCAAACGTCGCCGGTAAGGCAGTTGTACCTCTTGTTCTTCATCTCGTTTGTAGAGCAGAGTGCTGATAACGTATTAGAAGTGAATGTAAATAAACAAGACGCGAAAGAACTCTTGCTTTCATTGATCTCGGAAATATATTTATACAAGTGGAGGGGTATCACGAAGGGACATAACTGTTCCCAAAAGACATGCCCTTTGGAACTAAAATTAACTGTCTAATTCTATCCACTAATCCTGTGCTTGATGGATGAGATCACTCGTGAAGAGACGCCTGTTCGTCTGTAGACGTCCGTTCGCGTATATGTGTCATTTCACGACAAATTGCACTCTCTCGGCCTCACCTAAGTACTAACTTCCTGCATCTTCTTGCCTAGGAGTGCAGCAGTACTTCAGTGACCAATCGTGCAGCTGCTGCGATACTACTCTACTTAACCATCATAGCGTTGCAATGATACACCGATCTCCTGCTCCAGAAGCTACCGTTCTGTGCTTCGCCCTGCTTCTGCTCTTTCCCCGAACCAGCTCCACCGCCACTACAGGCGCTCCGAACACGGCGGCGCCATGCGCGCCGGCGTCGTGCGGGGACTTGGCCATTTCCTACCCGTTCTGGCTCGCAGGCACGCATCCGCCGAAGTGCGGCCACCAAGGCTTCCAGGTTACATGTGTCAAGGCCAAGGCGTACCTCAAGAATTCGGTCTGGACGTACCAGATCCAGGCCATCTTCTACACCAACAATTTACTCAGAGTAACCAACGCCAACCTGTCGTTGGATGGCACTGCTTGCAACGTCGGCAACTTCGTCAACGCCTCCTCCGTCCTCAGGCCGTTCTATATTGACTCCCAGAGCGACATGGAGCTGTTCTTCTTCTACGGCTGCAATCTGCGGGCACCGCAGCTGCCTCCTTATTGGTCGCCCCTGAGCTGTGGCAATGGCTCGTTCGCCTGGCTTTCTGGGCAGTACAGGCCCGACGACAGTTCGATGGCGCTGCCGGGGAACTGCATCGTTGCGATGATACCGGTGCTGGCATACGACGGGGCGACGGGGGCAGATTATGAGCGGCTCATGGAAGGAGGGTTTCTGCTTAATTACCTCAATGAGGACTTCTCCCAGTGCGACGCTTGCTCCGTCGGACACGGACACGGCCAGTGCCGGACAGTTGTCAGCGACGATGGGTTCCAGTGCTACTGCTCTGACGGCGTGTACTCGACGGCGGCCTGCGGTGAGTTCGGTTCCAATTTTTTTTTTTTCTGATGAGGGGAACGCCCCTCTTTCTTTTGCTAAATATAATTCATTTCGTTGAGCATGACTACATCTACAATACTAATCTTGAGAAAATTCACACGTTTGTACTTTCCATCAAGCCTAACATATACCCAAACTAACTCAAAGGCACATATAGGCAAAAACGACATAATTTATGATATTGAAAGGCAAGTATTTGGGAAAACACGCTATTAGAGAAATATGAGTTTAACCCATGATCTAATCTAGTTAACGTAAACACATTAGTGGATAAATAGACTAACCATAGTCGTAAGGTAGTACGCCGCCATGGTCGTAGTAGCAGAGGCCGTGGCGCTGCCCTCCTCATTGTCTGGACGTCGGAAGACACTAGGAAGATGCCAATGACTCCTCCTAATTGTCGGTGAGGAAACAGTGATGGTGGCGTGACCAACGGTGGCCTGTCCGTCACTCTAGCACCTTGATAATCACACCACCTTCCCATGACTCTAGCACCTTGATGATTGGATCTTAGGAGATGGATACGTGTAGCTAATCCTCGGAATGTTGGTTTCTCGAGCGGGAGTCTGGTCCTCTTATTGGTGTTATGTGACCGGGGGGGCCACAACCCTTGGTCGATTTGGGTGTCACCTCGGTCGCGGCACGTACCAGAGTCACGTACTCCCCTTGACTCACCAGAGGAACCGGTCTAGGAGTTGGTCCATCCCAAAACCTGGCCTGGTATCACTTATTCCAATATTCTTCTCTTTAATCGAAAAGCTAACATCATAGTCCACACTAAGTAAAAATAGTACATAGAGATAATATGTTGTAACAGTCAAGAGAACGCCACTGCAACAACAATACCCATACCAATCCACCCGATAGAATGTCACACAATCGTAATGGGAGTTGGTTATCTTATGGCCCTCATGCCCAGAATCAAAGGCTCTCCATTTAAATCTATATGCACAACATATAATCATATAATATTTTGGATGGTAAGCCTTAGAGGATCCATGATATATTAACTTAATGCTCATATGCATAAGATGGGCCCACGGGCTGGTGGCTTGCGCAAATTGGCAGCCCAGGCACAGGACCTTAGGCTTCAAGCCCATGAGAGAGCGTGCGGGAACATGATGGCACAGGACCTTAGGCACAGGACGAATGCAGTCTGGACCTTGGGCTTCAAGCCCATGAGGGAGCGTGCGAGACCATAATGGACTAGGACAAATGCGGCCTGGCTCGGACTCATTGCTCAGTCCGTTAGGGTTTTATTGTTTTCCCATATATTTTGAGCATATGGGCTAAACAGTATGGACCAAATTCATCAAGTTTCTAGGCTCCCTTATTTTGAATGCATTACTTACTGTTCAAATTTTGCTCAAAAAAACTTACTGTTTAGTTTTTGCTAAAAAAAACTGTTTAATTTTTTTAGCAGCACCGTTAAATAAGTCACAATGTTTAATGAGCTAAGTTGTGCCATAACTTTATTAATTTGGGATAATTTGATCCATTAGAAATTATGCAGTATCTATTTTCAGTATTATGGCTGTTTCAAGGGCATAACTATAATTTTTATGGAGCACTAATGATCGATTATTTGCTTAAGAAAATTATGATTATTTCTTAATATAATTTCTTGGCTATTTTAACATGGGCCCTTTATTGCTTTCATGGGCCAAATTTTGACCTATGTTTTAAACTCATTATTTTAATGCATCTCATTATTGTTGAGAGAATCATGGCATTGTTTTATGATGTCTTACGTATAATGTTTATTTTGCCCATATAATAATTATTTTCGCTGCTAAGTTATAATTATTTTCCTAGTTAGAATGGAAGGAATGGAAAATTCTAATTAAAGATTTCGTTGTGGCTTATGTATGTATCCAGTGTTTTCAAGGTGTCGCCTAGGCGACGCCTAGGCGTCCAGACGTACCCAGCTCGCCTTGGGAAACAGCGGCGCCTTGTGGCCTAGGCGTCGCCTAAGCGTCCAGGAGTACCAAGCACTCGCCTGGACGCCTAACCGCCTTTAAAACTATGTATGTATCTTTGACCAAAGTTAATTTATATGTACATGTTCACAAAATTATGTTTTAGTTTATTTTTTGGTTATGCAAATTTAAAACGATAGTAGCATGTTTTAAACAGACCAACGTAGGATTTTAATTTATGCATGACATAATGTTTACATATACTTACTAATTGTTATTCTAATTTACTTTGAGTTAGTGTTACATCCTTCAGAGGTTATGGACAGGATCAAAGAGATTCCTCTCCTCGACTGGACCAACTTCCCATTATGGAAAGAGGAAATTTGGCTGGTTCTCTTAAATTTGAATTGTGATCATGTTACGTGAGCACGCTCCTACTCTTGTGTTGTTGAGAGAGTAGGAAAATACTCATGTATGGCATGATCACAGTTGAAAAATAACAGGCCAACTAAATTTTCTCTTTCTATAATAGAAAATTGGTCCAGACAAGGAGACAAATCTCTTTAATCATGTCCAAAACCTGTGAAGAACATAGCACTGACTCAAAATAAATTAAAATAACATTAGCAAGATATGTAAACATTACATCACGCATTAATTAAAATCCTGTGCTGGTCTAGTTAAAATAAGTTAATGACATTTCTAATTCGCATAACCCAGGGCAGAAACAAAAAAGAAACTAAACATAATTTTGTGAACATATTCATATAAGTTAACATTGGTCAAAGATATATACATAAGCCACAATGAAGTCTCATGATTTATCGTTGGTTCCATCTGACTAGAAAAGTAATCATAAGCAATAGAAATAACCATTATGTGGGCAAAATAAACATCATACATAAGGCAGTGCTATGATTCTCTTAATAATAATGAGATGCACTAAAAATAAAAAACTTAAACTTAGCTTAAAATTTGGCCCATGAAAATAATAAAAAGACCCACATTAAATACCCCAGAAAATAAAGGAACCATCAGCTCCCGCAGGCCCATGTTCTTCAAATGCGATCTCGGCTGTCTGATCCTAATCACGTTCGCCCAACCTCAAACCAAAATGGCATGTGAAAAAAAAAACACTAACCCTAATCCCCATTACACTCTTCGTGTCCCGCATTTCACGCGCAGATGCTGCTAGAGAGAGGTGACGGTACGGACTCCTCAGCGCCACTGTGAGCCCCTTCATCGAAGCACGTGCACGGACAAGCTGCATGTGGGCCTGTCAAAAGGCCTCTCATCAGCACCCATGAAAACAACGCAAGCACGGTGGGCCTTCACCCTGCGCACGTGGAGTGGCGGTGGCGGGCGGCTCTGACTCATGCGCGGGGTAGTTAGGGCACTAATTAGATTAAACTGGCCTCTAAATTGAATTAATCCGAGGCAAAGTCGACACTTTCGGGTTTCATGAACTAGATTAGTCGGCTCTTGGTGCCACAATATTAAAGAATTAGGGGCTTAACCATAGGATCTTCTAGTTTAGTTAATGTGAACACATTGGCGGTGCCCTCCTCCACATCTGGATGACGGGAGAAACTAGGGAGGAAGATGCTGACTCCTGATTATCGGTGAGGAAAAGCAGGGATGGCGATGGCCTTCCGTCACTCCAACACCTTGATGATCGGATCTTAGAAGGAGATAGGTACATAAAGCAGGCTAATCCTCGGAACGTTGGTTCATCGAGTGGGAGCCTAGTCCTCTTATGGTGTTGTGTGACAAGGGGGCCACAGCTCACGGTCGGTTTGGGTGCTCTTGATCTCGGCAGGTACGAGAGTCACGTATTCCCCTTAACTTGGCTAGAGGAACCGGTCTGGGCGTTGTTGGCCCATCGCAAAACCTGGCCTAAGATCACTTATTCCACACTTCTAAACATATTAGAAAGCTCCAGCATGGAAATCTAAGGACTATGGGGGTGTTTGCGCTGGCAGCACGTCTAGATAGCAACCTCTTTTCCACATTTGTTGAAGGCGTGATTTTTGTGATTTCCACCAAAAACCAACTTAGGGAGTAGATTTAGCAAGCTCTTGACCTATACAGGAGTAATCCGGAGATTTTTGTTATTTTCCACCAAAATCCAATTTAGAGAGTAGATTTAGCCAGCTCTTGACCTATATAAGAGTAATTCGGAAAGAGTACTAAAAATAGTTGGCTGGACAAAACAAAAGGAAAAGGACATTGATATAGATTAAAAAAATGTGACTTGTGCAACCTTGTACGAGATTAATTGTTTACCAACAATACAAATAAGCATAGTTAGTATCACCCGTGTTTATGGCAAGACATATAATAATATATTGAGTCCCCTCAAATTAACTTCGCAATTTTCCACACATAGATATCTATTTTTTTATTAAAATTCCTTTTAATGCCATTGGAGCATATATATTCATCCGTGTGCATCATAAAGAATTATAGCAGAATATATATTTCAACTTAAGTAATGTAATATCAAGATTTCTAATATCAGCTATGGCAATTGCAGGAACCAAGAGGGCTAACTGGAAGACAACAATAATAGGTAAATATTTCCATCGAGAAGAAAACTATAAAGTACTCCGTCAATGCAAAAAGATATGACAACAAATGTGGCAGAAGTGATCTACAATGGTTTGGACAGCTAGGGCACGTATTCTAACTGGTTTTGTAGAGTGCCGCAAAAATTAGTGCACAAAAAACTATGGTTCAAAAAAAATAGAGCACAAAAACCTCATTCGTTACAAAAGAAAACAAATAATTTAGGATTTTGATTTTACAGAAAATAAATAACACATACTTAATCTCAGGTTCGATAACAGCAGCTGCAAGTTTGCTTGTTCTATGTATTTGCATGTTGATATGGAAGAGCAAGGTGAAAAACCTATGGTTTCTCCTTGCCAAAAAGACTAGCAGCAACAATGAAAGGAACGCTGAGGCTCTAATAGAATCATACGGATCCCTAGCTCCAAAACGATACAAGTACTCAGAGGTAGTGAACATAACTTCCTCTCTCAACAATAATCTTGGAGAAGGTGGTTATGGAACAGTTTACAAAGGAAGGCTACATGATGATCGCCTTGTTACTGTGAAATTCTTGCATGAGTGCAAAGGGAATGAGGAGGAATTCTTGAATGAAGTTATGAGCATTGGAAGGACATCTCATGTTAATATTGTTAGCTTATTTGGGTTTTGTTTAGAGCGCTCAAGAAGAGCTCTTATATATGAGTACATGCCAAATGGTTCTTTGGAGAAGAATATTTACTCTGAGAAACCCAAAGAAACTTCAGGGTGGCAAAAGCACTATTCAATAGCAATTGGGATTGCTCGTGGCCTAGAATACTTGCACCACAGTTGTAATAAACGAATAGTGCACTTTGATATCAAACCTCAAAATATCCTTCTAGACAAGGACTTTTGCCCAAAAATTACTGATTTTGGTTTAGCTAAATTGTGTCATGCAAAGGATAGTAAGCTCTCAATGACTGGTGCTAGAGGAACAATTGGATTCATTGCTCCTGAAGTTCACTCCCAAACCTTTGGAGTTGTCTCAACAAAATAAGACATTTACAGTTATGGAATGATGTTGCTAGAGATGGTTGGAGGCAGAAAAAACGTGAAATCAGTGGTTCAAAAGTCTAGTGAAAAGTATTTTCCACATTGGATTTATGATCACTTTGCCCAAGAAGATGGATTACATGGTTGTGATGTCACAAGTGAAGTGGAGGAAATTGCCAGAAAGATGACTCTAATTGGTCTGTGGTGCATCCAAATTGTACCTATGCATCGCCCTACCATAACCAAGGTTTTAGAAATGTTCGAAAGAGACTTACACAAACTGGACATGCCACCAAAGCAGAACTTCAGTCAAATACTGTAAGATGTTCTCTCTAGACATTTTCTGCACTTGTCATTTTTAGTAATTTTACATCTACAACTCCTTTCTCGTTTTTCCAGCGAAGATTCATTTAACAATTTGAATACAGAAAGCATGAGTCCTAGCAGCTCTGCTGAAACACAAGGTTCTAGTGAAGGACTGAAGGCTGAGGAGATAAAGCATGTGAATTCAAATATTATATGACAGTCCTCCCCATGGTCGAGAATAAACATCTTGTGAGAGTAATCAACTTTGTGAATGACCCCTACTCAACATATTAATGAATTCAAATCAGAAGGTACTATGATAGCTTTCAAAGAAAAAAAAGGCTACTATCTTATTATAGTATCTTGCATAGGACCTCATACATAGTAAAACCCAAAGGGAGCTTTTTCAGATAAATTACTAAATACTACTATCCATACATGGTAGCCCAATATTAGAATTTATAAAATACTAATGTGCAAATACTTTAAAAAGTTAGGTACGCATATTAAGTTTTTTCTCAGGCAGACATATTTTTTCACACTAGAGTTATGGAATGATGCGTCTCCCACCTGAGGAGCATCAAGTAAGAAACCGAGCAGAGCTGTCAGAATAAGAAGATGAAACTGAACATGGTCATTCATGTACAATGGGCCAGGAAAGAGGCATATTTTCTCTTGGAATTGAGTTTGGTTATTCTCCTCCTCCTCCAGACTCTTCCTCAGAGACAGATTATATAAATTTCATAACTACCTCTCCCCTTCTCACCAACTCCGTCCTGGCAATCAAGGTAGCAGTGCAGAGGAGGCGGGCATATCTGAAGTCTGGCAATGGTGGCCTCCTATGGCTGTACACCCCCTTCAAAGGTCGTATAAATGAATCCAGATAAATAAAATCCACCCAATCCAGCTGGTAATGGTTCCAATTCAAATCAGAGCACAGTTTCCATAAACTTATAGTCAGATTGCGCGCTTAGAGCTTACGAGAACTGAAACTGGCAAAATCAGAGCAAAGGCGTAAATCTAGCTTTACTTGGTTCGTTGATGCCACTCAGTGCCGGCCCGCAGAAGGAAGAAAAGAGGACCGCGGCCTGTGCTGGTCTGCTGGAGCGGGAGGTCTAGGCTCAGGTATACTATAGACCTTAGCTCTATAGTCCGATGGCACATTTATAAAATACTAATGTGGACATCTATACTGGTATCAAGTTAGGTAGTCTATATTATTTTTAGCTCAGGCAGACATTTTTTCATACTAGAGTTATGTAATGATACATCTCAGGACGGCAAGGAGCATCAAACAAGATACCGGGCCGCCACAGAGCTGTCAGAATAAGAAGATGAAGATGAGCCGAATGGTCATCAATCATGTATCAATGGGCCAGGAAAGAGGCACAATTTTGATCGCTTTTTTAATTGAAATTGGTTATTCCCAACTTCTAAGCACCAGACTCTTATAGTCAGAGACAGATGAATATAAATTGCATAACTAGTCCTTACAAAAAAACATTTGTTGCCGTCTCGAGAAAAAATCCAAAAAACTAGAAGATTAATTTATTGATCTGAAATCTGGCAATAATAATCCTATTGATCTGTACACCCCCGCTTCAAATGGTCGTATCAATGAATCCAGATAAATAAATCCACCCAATCCAACTGGTAATGGTTCTAATTCAAATCAGAATCACAGTTTTTATAAACTTATAGTCAGATTGATGGACGCTTACGGCTTACGAGAACAGAAACTGGCAAAATCAGAGCAAAGCTGCAAATCTACTTACTTGGTTCGTGGATGCCACTGCTTGCCGGGTCCTGCACGGCCGCGAATCCAGGCGACCCAATCATCCCGTGGATTTGCGACCTTCTGCCATGGGCGACGTAGTCGAGACGTCTGCCGCCATGGACAGATCACAGATATACCGAGCCCGCGCCGTTTTCGGGGGCGGAGGTATATATTCGGAAATTTTATAATGCGACGGCAGTCGCAGTGGTGAGTTCGCCAAAGGGTCGCAAGACTCTAGCGCCGGCGCTGATGCCACTGCAGCTGCTGCACCGCACGCGATACGGCCCCGCCGCCATCCCGCTCAAGCGACCTTCTTCTGGATGAGAGCCGCCGCCAGATTCGACCCAAATCTTGAGGCGCAAAGCCGGTTCGCCAAGCCTCAACTCGACGGCACTAGCTGCGATCGCGTGGCTTGGCCGATGGCTATTCCGTCTCGGTTTATGCGCATACGGCCGGCGACTTTTTACTTGCCGTATGGTAGTGTAATTTCTAAAAAATGTGTAGATGTCCATTTTAGACTTCCTTTGTAAATCCTTCAGTTGCCGATGGGATCCCTGATGTTCCAGCTGAATATTTTGGCGGGCGTCGATTGCCAAAACGTGCGCTGGCTGTCATCTTTCAAGACCTGCCGCAGGGTCTCTGTCTAAAGGCCCTCCCTTGGCGGGCGTCGACTGCCAGACGTGCGCTACTTAAGCCTATCGGCTAGTGAGGATTTTGGCTTTATCTCAAATTTTTGAACCCAAGACTATAGATTTGTAATTAATCATTAAAAGCTTATTTAAAAATTCACCATAATCCCACTTAATAAAATAAAGCTGTTATTTTTGCAGAATGGACGTGTTGCCTCGACGTTGATAGGTTCAAACCAGCGCTAGAATTTCAATCCTATCCTGGGCCTACACCCACGCGACTCCTAACTCTTGACTCAAACGCTGCTTATTCCTATGCGTTTTACGAAAATGGAGCTTATGACCGCCAGAATCCTCGAAATGTGGACTATTCAACATTCACACAATTCATCCATCCATTTCGTGAGATCTCCATGGTCCAACAACTTCATCCTCTCATGTTTCATCACTAGCATGGCTCATTTCGCTGTCTAGAAATAGAGAAATTTGTAGTTTTTAACTAGGAATAATGGTGGATTTTTTCCAGTCCATATATCATTTGGCCGTCATCACTTGATAGTTTGCCCTTGTTCTTAAAGTAAGCTTATAGTAGTTCATCAAAAACCACCTATTCTTTCTCCTGCACCTTTGCATTGGCTGTGGTGGTGGTTTAGCGGCGCTGCTGCTTTAAGGTTTTTGCTATTAGGCTGCTTAGCCACGGCCACCGTGAACGCCGACGATTTAACCACCATTTGAGCTCAAACTCAGCTGCGCGCCGGCAACATGTAGAAAATGAAAGCTTAAAGTAGTTGCGTCAAGATTAAACGCGCCGATGCCAAGGCCGCCTCCGCTACAGCCAAGCTTCATTGCGCGTTGCGGTCGCCGCCTCTTTTCCCGTCGCCATGGCCGCGTCCTGGCTCCCCCCCCTCTCAACTTGTCGTCCTATCGCGGCTGCCCTCAAGAAGAACGCGAGCAAACAAGCGAAGAGAGGAGGCGAGCTCGGGGAAAAATATATAGCTTCATTTATTTATCTAACACGGTAGTTGATTGCATCCTATATCAGGTATATATATATATATATATATATATATATATATCGGCCTCTCTCTGCCATTTTTATCCAGCAGCTCCAGCGCCATGGCGGCCGCAAAGCTCTGGTCATGCTGAAGTGAACCGCTCAAAACAATTCAAGATGCATTAGCGAGGTTTCTTATGGAACAGGTCATAAATCCCAATGGCGCACCACTATGACCAGAAGAAGAATATCTCCTAGCCATGATTGAATGAAATCTCACCCACATGAGTACAAGCTTTTTGTTACTTTATGTACCGCTCCTGTGGTGTACAAGCTTTTGAAATATTTGTATATATATAGTTTCAGGCCACCATTTTAGTGTGTTACCTGCTGGAGTTAATGCTCAAGATGAACCTTATACATATGGGTCGTGGCGAGAGAGGGAGGTTGGGATATAAAAAGTTAATTGAAACAAAAAGAATTGAATTGAAAAGAAACCATAAAAGAAAAAAGGTGGTCCATTAATACCAGGTTGGAAACACCGACTCGAACTAAACGCGGGATCGTGGCGGGTTTACCGTGAAGTCCATTTAGTCTCGGTTGGTCGAATGAAGAACGCGGGACTAAAAGTCCACTTTCAGTCCCGATTGCACAACCGAAACTAAAGGGGGATGGCTTTAGTCCTGGATTCGCTATTCTAGTTGAAAAATAAACTTTTTGGCTTAACAAATTAAGAAGAAGAGGACGCCCGATGCCAGTTTTGTCTTCACCGATGCGCAGTTTTTCCACAGGGTAACAAAGTTCGTTCACATATTATCATTGCATCATCGTCATCATCATCATCATCCAGAAGGGCATTCATGCATTTTCAAAAGAAAATGAGGACGCAAACGCCAGGGAAGTCTGTAGAACACTCGCCGCGCGGAAGGAAGCAGAACCCGGAGCGGTGTGCATCCTGAGACGCATGCACGTACTGTCAACCTTCTGAAAAACACTAAACAACCGCAATCAATTGCCATGCCGCAGAACGCTGTCGCTTCCACGGAACGGAAGAGTAAGAAAATGTGACGGAATATCGTTTCAGGATCGTGTGCAGGTTTTCAGCCTTATTCAGAGTCTGTCTGTCCAAAGAACAAACGGAGAAATCGCTGGTCCAGGTTCGCATAGGCACACCACCACCACGGGTGCTGGATTTGGCCCTCCGCAGCCGACAGGGCGACTCTTCCCTTGGTGCGTGGTGGGGAAGCATTGCTCCCAGAGCATATACTGCTACTATGCCTATCGAGGCCAGTGAGGTGCTTCTGTATGTCAAATTTTGTATAACGACTTCTAAATTTGTAATTAATCATTAAAAAATATTATTTAAAAAAAATTTCACCACATCCGCATTAACAAATTAAAGCTGTTATTTTAGAATGGACGTAAGCACTGCACACGATTGTTGCGTTAGGTTGTGTGGCGCACACACTGTTAATCCTATCTTGAACCTTCAACCCAAAGGCAGACAGCTAAAACAGAGCCGAACTGGGAAATGAGCAATTATGATGCGTCCTGGTTTGAGACCTTCTTACGTCCGATCCAACGGTCCTCGAGCATTCACTCCATTGATCCGAACGCTCCATCGCGGCTACATCGATGGCCAAAGAGCCGCATCCCACCAGCAGGAGCAGAATGCCCGGCCGTAGAGGTTTCTGCAAGTCACAAGCGCGTGGCGGAACTGTCCTGGGAACAAATTCCGGTCCAAGTATCTATCCGTGACCAGGCTGCGTGCGTGCGTGCGTCCCTTTTCACAACCTCCCACACCGCGCAGACGCGAACAGAACCACCACCACGGCACCACCTATTCTTTCTCCTCCTCCCGATGCAGACCGCCGTGGTGGTGGTGGTGGCGCTGCTGCTCCCCCTCTCCGCCTTGCTGCGCTTAGGCTGCTTAGCCACGGCCACCGCCGACGCCGACGCCAACCGGACCAGCAGCGGCAACGACACGATCTGCGCGCCGGCGAGATGCGGTGGCCTGAACATCACGTACCCGTTCTCGCTCGCCGGCGTGCATCCGCTGGAGTGCGACTACCCGGGCTTCGATCTGACATGCGACGCTGCTGCTGGCAGGGCCTACCTCAGCAGGACGTTCAGTGTGAACCTGTACCGCGTGCTCAGCATATCCTACGACAACCGCTCCATGCTCGTGGCAGTGGAGACCGCCTTCTCCGGTGACGGGGCGTGTAGAATCCCGGACTTCAACGTGTCCTCTGGCCTCACCTCTTCCCGGTCAACACCAGCGCCACCAACTGGGAGCTCACGTTCGTCTACAACTGCAAGATTCCTCACAACGAGCTGCTGACAGGACCATGTGCCAAACACCCAATTGGGGCTTACATCTCCAAGAGGCCCGGCGACGTGGAGAACAGCCGGCCGCAGTGGGTTCAGGCGAACTGCAGCTCCGCGAGCGTGCCGGTGCGCGGGTTCCAAGATGGGATGAATCTGACTCGTGAGTCCGTGTACGATTCATTGATCAGCGATGGTTTCCTCCTGGACTGGCCGTCGACTTCTTCTCGTGGTAAGCATCGTCTACTACCTTGTGCTGCAGTACTTTGGATTGGAGAAGCGATACATTAATACATGGATTTTAATCTCACTACTGCTGATTTTTTTTTGGGGTCTAGCTGGTGCCTCGTATTTTACCCGTTCTTGTGAATATGCATTAAACCTGAATATGCACTTGACGCGAACAAGACAAACCAATCAATGGCTGCTACAATTAAGACGCAGCCTCAAGTTTGACGCTTTTGCTATTAGGGGACGGGGTAACAAGGGCACTTTCAATGGGGTAGATAGTTTATATCCATATTAAATAACTTATCAGCTAAGCAAAATGCTGATGTGGTACCTTAATTAATGAGGAAAAAAAGAAAAACAGTGGAAACCGTTTCCTCTAACCGAAACCACGTCTACCCTCGCAACAAGGCAACAAGAACGATGATTTCGGCATTGAGAAGAAACCAGCCGTTTCTATGCAAGTGGGGCCCGTGATGGGATGTAACTGCACCTCACGCATCCTCGCTCCTCCATGTGCGCCCCTTTAATTTGCGCTCGCTTGCCGGCTGCTCGCCCGCGTCGCCGCGCTGGCCTGCCGACCGCCGACCGCTGCGCGCTCTTGCCCGCCGCGCTCGCCGGTTGCCATCCACGCCGCGCACGCCATATTTAATTTCGACCTGATAACAGATGAGGTTCAGCTATGAGTTGACTCAGGTCTACCAATAGTACCTCATCTTCGTCTTCTCGTCAAGTCTTCCATGGATAGATTACCACTCGTTTTCATTGGATACTTAATTTCATGCTAGAAAAACCACAAAGTGACCTTAGTGCAAGCACAGTCACAAAAGGTATGTGGGACGTGGATCATCAATTTTAAGTTCCTGATTTGTCGGGGCATTACCTCTTTGGGATGTTTGGTTCGGAGAGGGGACCATCATCCCTAGATAATTGGGACGACGTACCCAGATAGCTATGGAACGTGATTCTGGTACATTTGAGTCGATATAAATGGAACGTAGCTAAGGACCGAGGATCGTGATCCCGGAATTTTTAGCTCGATGAATATATTATATAAGACTGAATTTAACATTCATAAAGATAAAATTATATGCTAATTATAGATAAAAACATCAAATAGACCGCGCCATTTGTCGTGACCACACGTCGTCCGCACTCCACAGCAGCACAGCTTCATCGCAAGTTTACTGGTAGCCCGTTGATCTACTTGAATCCTAATCCTATATGCAAGTTTACAAGATCAGGAACATTATTAATATTTACTACTAATAAGAAAACTCAAATAGATTACTTTGAGCTGAGTATATTGAACTAGTGTTTACCCTTAGATATTAGAATTTTCAGGATCTACGTACCAGTCGGCATGTGCTTCGTTTTAGTAGCCCTTAGTGGCCCTTGACAAAAGGCGCAAATTATGGTGGATATATACTATTTGTTTACATTCAGCTTGTTCCTCTTTGCACTTTGGATGTATCCATAGGTACTCCAAAGTCTCTCTGCTCATGAACTACTGATAGGTTGGGAAAGAACTCTCACTGCCACTGCTGCCAAATTCACGGCAAATGGCACGGTCTATTTGAAGTTTTTATCTATAATTAGCATATAATTTTGCCTTTATGCATGTCAAATTTAGACTTATATAATATATTTATCGACCTAACAATTCTGGGATTACGATCCTCGTTCCATAGCTACGTTCCATTTATATCGACTCAAATGTACCCAGATCACGATCCTCGTTCCATAGCTACGTTGCAGGTACGTCCTCCTAATTATCTAAGGATTATGATCCCATCCTCGAACCAAATGTCTCAAAGAGGTATACCCCCTATGAACCGGGAACTTAAAATTGACGATCCACGTCTTACATGTGGCCGAACCGCCTAATTTAATGTCTTCCAGGAGTACTTGTCTTCTATTAGACACTAAGTAACCGAGGGAGGACACTAAACTACGCAGTTCCATTGAGCACCATGGGAGAACCCGAAAATCCACATTTTTCAACAGGATCATAAATGGGAGAATAAAGCTTACAATATTTTAACCAATTCTTACATCACTTTCCATGCAGCATCAGAGTATAATATTTATTGTTTATAATAGCGAGAATATAACCATGTTATCAGAATTTTAGCGGAAATAAATTCATTAAACGACAAGTTAAACATTAACATGATGATCCGTTATATACATCATAACATATTATAAGTTTTTCCATTGTAAAACATTTTGGGTGAAAGTTTCAAATAAACTCTATTGCCTGCAACGTTAAGGAAAACCTCGCTGACCCACTATGAGGTTTCCACACACAAGTGTTAGCTCCACATGTTTCTGTCACCTGCAATAGGGTAGAACAAACCCTGAGTACTCAATTGTACTCCGCAAGACTTACCCGTCAGGGGAAAGAAAAGACTCCAAGGATATGCAAGGCTATCTGGCTTGTGGTTATATTGAATCTACAGGAAGCATTACTAAGCGTGCATCCTTATATTCAATTTCATTAGCAGTCATCATTAGTTCATTAACTAACCATTCTATGTAAGCACCTGTGCTACTTTCAAGCAGGTGGTAAGCAATCAGAACCATTTTATCATCTTTCATATTCCAGTTTTTACTACGGTGCTAGATTATAGACAAGTCGTACCGGATTACCCGGCGATTCGCAAATCAATGTGCCCAGCTAGGTACCCCGAAATACACGTCCTGCTTGTACCCTAGGCATAAGCAGGACCAACCCACCACTCTCCTGTCGAGGGGTCCAGGTCCGCGTCCAAACTTGGACTCCAAGCCCCACACCTGAGTCCCGGACTCAGTGTGGTGCTTAGACCTCCACCATCCCCGCCTTCAATCAGTCGGTCCGAAAAGAGACGGAACCCACGACAAGAGAGCAACGAACCTTTTCTGCTCCCATAAATAAGTATGTGCTAAGGATAATAAGTCTATAACCTGATTAGAACCCAATGCAACGGCCGGTCCTTAACCGACACGGACAAGGAAAACAGTGTAACCAAGCTATGCTCCGTTGGCTGTGGGACACAGACTCTTACACCCACCAATACCCATACAATATCCCTACCCAGTCTCCAATTATCATTCATATATATATTACATGTGATATAATAACAATAATAATATATTTCCTATCTCTCGCGAGTGATAGGCAATCACTCGACTTCTACCGGAGTCCTGTAGCATAGCAATCTACACGATCCTATCATACTAGTAAGACTAATAGGATAAAGATATATATAACTTAATGTACAAGCATAAGATAAAATACAGAATAATATGGGTTATGCACCGGGACTTGCCTGGGTAAAATATAACCAAAAGTTAGTATTCCATCAGGGTGACACGATCATCAGGCACCATCTTTTCCGCTACTTCGAGCATCTCCTCGATCCATCATTGTTCCTATTATGATATTCGTGGATGCAACGCAGAGACGCATGGCAATCGCAACTCTAAAATACGATTACGCTGCTAAACTAATGAGCTGGCTCTAGCGACTAACGTACAAGGCTACGTATCCATGTTGTGGAACAAGTCCCCATTTTCCTACAAGTATTTTAGTCATACAAACCCAAGGTTTTTCTTTATCCATTTCCTTGATTTAATATATAATCGAACTAGGGCTCATTAGCTACCTTAGCAAACTAATTATTCTGGAGCTACGAAAATTATAGAGAGCACATAACAAAACTATGGAACTGCTGTAAAATTTCCAAAGCTAGCACTATCATCATTTTATCACAAAAATTCCTTTAAGTTCATGTCTTATTAAACTACGCATTTCAAAATAATTATGGCAACCCAACAAATAATACAAAACTATATGAACAAAATACACTAACAAGTAGACCATGATTTTAGAAACTTAAAAAAATTGGTTTCACAATTTTTGGTCAACTACACAAATTGATATTGGATTTACAAGTTTACCCTATAAACTAATTTGGAAACGCTTTAGAAAAAGGAAAAGCCGGTGGCCAACGATTTCAGCCCAACAACCTAAACGGCCCGCGACGGGGAGCCCGCGCATGTAGCAGGCCGGCCCAACAAGCGGCCCGCGACGAGGAGGCTACGCGTGACCCCGCACCTTTTTCAGAAAAACTCTCAGCGTAACAGATTATCATGCGGCGTCACTGAGCACTATTACACCAGAGACAAGCTTTGCACTAAGTACTTTGAATGTTTCTGCCCCCACAACGGGGAGGTCCCTGCTCTACCTCGCGCTCGCCGGCATAGCGACCAGCGGCATGGGCGGCTGCACTGGGCACCCCAAGCTCGCTACCACAGGGGTAAGGAGCCGACCTTTGCCTACCGATAAGCGCGCACTCCTCGGTAGAGGTGGGGAGCTTAACGACGCACTACCGAGGGCTAGCCCCAGCGACGTGCGGAGCTGTGCCACAGCGTGCTCGTTCCGGCGACCTAAGGCTCTACCGAGGTGGTGGCGGTGATGGATGAGCACCAGTAGCTCACCAAGGTTCGTGTGCGGTGGTGGTTGAGGCAAAGGAGCGACGAGGCGACCCGGCCACGTGCGCCCGCACCTCATGGCGCCATGCCGAGCGTGACATCGGTGCTCCACCGCTCCATGTGGTGGACTCCCTTGACAAAACAACACGAGCACCATGCGGAGGGGGTCAAGGCGAGTTTAGGGACAACACCAATTGGAGCTCTCTCCCCACGTATTGGGACTTACCCCCAGCCCATCTGTTGCGGCGGCTTTCAAGGCTGGCGGTGAGAAAATGCCAAATTGGCCGTCGATAACGCTTGGCCGGGGATGAGGAAGATGGAGCGCCTAATTGACTTCCTAAGCCACTCTCATGCGTGAAGACCCGGGCTGTAAATGCCTAGAGCTAGGTGGACCGGTGGGCGGCGATGCGGTGCTCTGGCCGGGCTATGCCGTGGACAAGGCGCACAAGCAGGTTAAAACGGAGCGGCACGGCACAGTTAGCAGCAGTATGCACACACGCGCACAGGAGACGGGACCTATAAGATCAGCGCGACGCGTTTGAACCAAAGTGACCGAATGCAAGCGGACTCACCCATGGCGGCTAGTGAGTCAAAGCAAGGTGCTGTAGGGAAACGTCGCCATCACTGCAGAGCCCAGGGGCCAGACGGTCCTGCCGTGGCGGCAGCGGCTCCTGCCCACGGTAGGTAGAACGAGGGGCGGGGTGAGCGCCATGTCGACCAACGGCGGCCACCAAGGCAATGGCCTGGCCCTGCGCACGGCGCGGTAGCATGACGGCGGTTGCAACGACACGGGCAGGGAGGGATAGCGCTGGGGCGACACGATAGCAGCGACGGTGTCAGCCAGGCAACAGCCAGCCAGGGCCAGCCAACGCTGGCGCACGGAACAGCTGTAGCCGGCCCCTACACGGCACAGCCAACGCACAGCGTGGCCGAACGTAGTGACACCAGGGCAAAGGGCGCTGTGACCGCGACCACAGGGCTAAACGGCTGAACTAATGTTGTGCACGAATTTTAAAGCTCCGACCAAAACCAGCCCAGCTCGGTTCAGACCAAACCAATTTGCCAAGGCTCAAGAGGGTCCTAAAGGCTATCCCAAGGAGCATCAAACGCAAACTTAGATGAACTACCGAGAGAGATAGAGACACGCCAAAACAGGTTCATCAATTCAGACGCTGATTCACGAACGGAGCGCCAAAACCTGACCGCAACGCGTTCTAACGAAGTTAGGGCAATTTTAGAGCGGACAACGTGACATCCAACACAATGTGGACTTATGTCGTGCTCAAGCACTCACTTTGATGCAATCAACAATACCCAAAATATGCAACTAGTATTTAAACATTTTTGTTAGAAATTAAATGCCAAAATAGCATTGTCTACCACCCTTCGTACTTAGAAAATGTTAAGGTTTTTAGTTAGGGCTAAGTAACCATTAACTCTTTTGTCGCAATTTTCAATAGATCTAAACCTTGCTAACTTCAACCAACAAATACTTCATGCCATAGTCCATACCTTATACTAACCCGTGGGAGCAAAAAATTTAAGCACCATTTAACTAATTTGCTCAATATAATTCGCCAAAAATGGTATTTTAACGATCGTTTAAGTGCTTGCCGACTTAACGAAAAGAGCTTATCTAAACGTCAAGTTTGATTTTAGAGCTCCCAAAACCTTAGTTAACAACATATATTTTCCAAAAGTTAAAGTTGCATTGTCATCTACCAAGTTTGTACTTCCAACTTTATTTAAGTGTCACATACATGTTCTATAGTACTTGTGCTTAATAAAAATTGGTTTTAAACCCTAAGTGATATAACATGACTATTGAATCGACTTTTGTTTAGCATTTCTGTTGATCGTTTCGAGTTACAGAAATTAATCTACACACTTTATCACAAGCATAGACACAAACATGAGGCTCATGACATAGCTTAGCAAGTTGTTTAAGCGGTAACACCAAAGGTGTTACATCACGTACCCCGTTCCTCGTACCTATGTACTGGGAAGTTTAATGACTGTGGCAGCGCTACATGGTTGCATGGATGAGGCGGGCGTGTGCGGTGTGGCAGGGGCGAGGATAGTAAGGTGCAGGGGTGGATGAACTAGAATGGTACAATTATGCAGCTTTAGGGAGTTGAGTGTGCAAAGCAAGTACTAGGACGGGGATGAGAACTAGACATAAGTTTAGGGATCCTAACATGCAATTTGTAAGTACCACGATCAGAATGAGAACTCGATACAAGTGTAGGGAGCCAAAGTTGCTATTTTGCAAGTATTGGGGCCTGGATGTGAAGTCAGGATAAATTTAAGGACCACTAGTGAAATTTATTCTAGTTTTATTATGTATCTAGATGCAACCAATATGTAGTTGCATAGCAATAGAAAATCCAAAACTGATATATAATTTGAAACAGTGGGATAATTCATTAGTACATTTTAGAAGTGAGTGTGCGGAAATAACTTAGACTGTACTTGTCGACTTAAGTACTCCTAGCTTCCAAATTATGTCTACATTAGCAAGCACTCCCAAGGCAATCTCGGCGAGCTTTCAGCAACTGGGAGACTTGTCCAGATGTGTCAATGATGCTATTTAGACTTTAGAGGAACCTCTCTGTGTAAAAGAAACATATGATTCTCTCCCTCACACAATTAAAAACATAGAGAAATGATATATCATTAGTCAAGAGAACCATTTGAGCAGCAACAATTTTAAGCAAAGACGATAGTATTTTAATGGTATTATCCGGGGAGATTTAAGACACCAAAGTACCTATTAAATCTAAAATTATGAGGAATAAAATATGAATTCCAAGAGATTATCTCAAATAGTAGTCGACGTTTAATGAAAAAAGAACATGTTCTTTATATTATCAGTTTATCACCGTTGCAACTCTTGCTAACATTACATTTCCTCAATATAATAAAAAATAATTAACTTAGCCTTTTTCCTCAAAAAGAAAAAAAAACTCTTTTCAAATGTTTTTATGTCCTTCTCGATGGTTTGATACTATTTTATAATTTTTTAGCAGATGCAAAGAAGAAACAAAACTTGAAGTTAATTTTAATAGGTATGTTTTTTAACAGATCAATTTATTTGAGCATGTTATCACTGCTGCGTTCCTTTTTGCTATAGCACTATTCCATTTCCATATATATTTCTTGATTATTATTTACTTTCTCTGTCCCAGAATGATAAATGTAGTTTGTACAGGGCAAAGTCAAATTAATTTACAAACTTTGACCAACAATAAGTCTAGTCAATGATATAAAACTTGTATCAATAGATTTGTGTTCAAAATGACTCGGAAATTCTATTGGTTCTTTAACAAGTGTTAACATATAGTAAGAGAAACTAAGGGTCAAAATCTAAACAGTTGATTTTTCCCTGATCAAAATACACTTATTATTCCAGAACAAGGAGATTAGTATTGATGCCATTAACAAATAAGATAACCAAACATAAGAATGTGTGGTGCATCTTATCATTGTAATGTTGATAAAACAAGCATTTGCGTTTTGCCAATACAAATTGGTGTGTAATAACATGGTATATCCTGTTTCAGTTGCCTTCTCCTCTACAGCCAGCTTGATTCTTACGTCCCTTGTTTGGATAATGTACCGCCAGAAGAGAAAGGAAAAGCACATTACATCCAACCAAAAGTACAAAAGCTATGAATCAAATATAGAGGAAATACTAAAAGGATATGATTCTCTCGTCCCAAAAAGGTACAAATACTCAGAGGTAAAGAAGATAACCGGATGTTTCAAAGATAAGTTAGGAGAAGGCGGCTATGGCACGGTATTTAAGGGGAATTTTGAAGATGGCCGGAAGGTTGCTGTGAAACTACTGAAAGGATCAAAAGGAAATGGAGAGGAGTTCGTGAATGAGGTTGTGAGTATCCATAGGACATCTCATGTAAATATTGTCAATTTACTTGGTTTTTGTTTACATGGACCTAAGAGAGCACTTATTTACGAATACATGGCTAATGGATCATTGGAGAAGTATATACAATCAGAAGAAACAAAAAGGGCCATTGGATGGGAAAAGTTGCGAGAAATAGCAACAGGAATTGCGCGAGGCTTGGAATATTTGCATCGGGGCTGTAATACACGGGTCATCCATTTTGATATCAAGCCAAATAACATACTTCTAGATGAAGACTTTTGTCCCAAAATAGCAGATTTTGGATTGGCGAAACTGTGTCATCTTAAGGATAGTGCCCTCTCAATGGCTGAAGCAAGAGGTACCATCGGTTTTATTGCTCCAGAAGTATTTTCAAGGGGTTATGGACTTGTGTCCACCAAGTCAGACGTATACAGCTACGGAATGATGTTGTTAGAAATGGTAGGAGGAAGGAAGAATCTTACAGAAGACACTGAGAATTCTAGTCAACAATATTTTCCAAACTGGGTTCATGACCGTTTGGTTAAAGATTTACAAAGTCATGAAGTCACATGCAAGACTGAAGAGATTGGAAAACAGATGACCCTTGTTGGCTTGTGGTGCATACAAACGACTCCAGAAAATCGTCCATCCATGAGCAGGGTTATAGAAATGTTGGAGAAGAACGTAGATGAATTGGAAATGCCCCCGAAACCATTGCTTTCGTGTCCCTCGGTGCCGTCTCATTTTTCATCCTAACCTGGATTGTTCTGCCGGGACTCGGGAGAGACCTCCCTTTCAACTATCTTCCGCAATCCAACACAAAAGCAAATGATTTGAAGCTGTGGCAGTCTGGCAGAGCCAAACAAGTTTGTAGAGCCTGGGCAATCCTAAGGAGGACTTCACGTCCTCGCTGCTAATCTGTAGATAGAGCTTGCCGCCTAGATGCACCTTGGCCTGCCGACGACGAGCATGGGCAGCTGCCCTGGGTGGCCAGGTTGGTGGTGGCTCCGCCTCTAATTTGAAGTACAATCTATACCTTCGAATTTATAATAACACATAAAAAACCGCTAAAACGTTGTAAAACAATTTGTTGCATCACAATTTAGAAAAGGTGTATATATGATACATATTGTTTATGGACAGGCCAATACAGCCATTCCTATTGGCGTTCTGGAAAGCTAGCTCATGTCACTGACATTCTTGGATTACAGCTTTAGGAAAATGATGATGATGGATACTCTGTGACTTTGTGACTTATCTTCTATGCATATATGCAATTTTCTTGACTGTTCAAGATGGAAGTTTGCATCAAGGACTGCCCACATCCTATGTACTGGGATCTCATGTGAGCCCATTTCAAACTTATGAATTAACCTTAGAGATGGCAGTGTAGTTTATCAACATGTATTTGGCACTTTACTGAAAATATCACTTCAATTATCTTGCAAACAGAATTGCAGAGTGGGTTCTTCTGTCTGAATTTTCAGTTCAGTCTTTCAGGATCTGTTTGGTGTACACAATCTAGAGATCAACTTTGATTCATTCCGAGTCAACTTACAACATCCTCTGTTGGTCCCGAGATCTCCCGCATGGGTGAGCCAACCGCTCACCGGCGTTCTCGCTCACTATAGCTAGAGGTAGAAGAAGGGAGGGAGAACAGAGCGCACACACACAGCACAAGCACCAGCGTTGGCTGGAGCTCTGCAGAGGAGATGGCAAAACTGAACTCGCTCTCACTTTACAGAGTTGCAGTGGGAAGCTATATATATAACTCTACCCATCTAATCCTAGTACACAGACATGTCAGGCTGCCATGCTGTTACAGTGACTAGATGTGACAGCGGGGCTAACTTTGGCGCCTGCCCCTGTTGTGGCTACAGTGCGGCAGGGGAGCCTTTCGGCGCCTGCCCCTGCCGCAGCTAAAGTGCAGTAGCAGGGGAGCCCTTTCGGCGCCTGCCACTACCGCGCGTATAGAGGGAGAGCAGCAGATTACTTTACAATTCTTCCCCTAATCCTGCTGCTAACCCTAAAACCTCCACCATGCCGATCATCTTCTTCAGCTCCGTGAACCGAAGACGGCCGAGCGGCTTGGTGAGGACGTCCGCGAGTTGCTGACCAGTTTCGACGAACTCAATGACGATCTGCCCTCCATTGACACAGTCCTTGAGGAAGTGAAACTTGACATCGATGTGCTTGCTTCGGTCATGGAGAACTAGATTCTTCGTGAGGGCGATGGCGGGCTCGTTGTCCACCATCAGTGCTGGTGGGTGAGCTTCCACACCGGTCAGCTCGCCCAGCAGCCGACGCAGCCACACAGCTTGGCACGCCACTATGGCCGTCGCCACGTACTCTGCCTCGCACGTGGACAGCGCCACCACCTTCTGTTTCAGCGACAGCCATGAGATTGGAGCCGACCGGAGGAAGACGAGCACGCCAGAGGTGCTCCACAGACCGTCGATGTCCCCCGCCATGTCTGCATCGATGAACACAGTGAGATACAGCCCACTTCCGCCGGTCTTGGGGAAGACGATCACCTGATCCACCGTCCCCTTGACGTAGCGTAGCAGCCACTTCACCGCGGCCCAGTGAACCTCTCGGGGATCCTCCATGAAGCGGCTGATGTAGCCCACGACGAACGCAATCTCCGATCTCGTGTGGACTAGGTAGCGCAGACCACCGACGATGCTTCGGTAGATTATTGCATCAACCTTAGCCACGATACTGGCCTTCGTCAGCTTCAGCCGCTCCTCCATCGAAGTCACCTAGGGCTTGCACTCAGCCATGCCGCTCCACTCCAACAGCTTCGAGGCGTACGCCCTCTGACCGAGCGTGAGCGCCTCCTTCCCCTGTCTCACCTCGATGCCGAGGTAGTAGGAGAGCGCGCACAGATCGCTTATTCAAAAACGAGCCGCCATCTCGTGCTTGAAACTGTCGATGTCCTCCACACGCGCGCCGATGACGATCAAGTCATCCACATACACGCCGACGACGCGCTCCTCCTTCCCCCGTCGCCGCGTGTAGAGTGCGTGCTCGGTTGCGCACCGCGTGAACCCAAGCTTGCCCAACGTGGCGTCAAGCTTGGCGTTCCACTCTCGCGGGGCCTGCCGTAGCCCGTAGAGCGCCTTGCGCAGTCAGAGCACCCTGTGCTCCGCTCCCTTGACGGCGAAACCCGAAGGTTGCCTGACGAAGGCCGTCTCTGCCAGCTCGCCGTTGAGGAAGTCCGATTTTATGTCCAGGTGATGGACGCACCAGTCCTTCGCTGCTGCCAAAGCCAGCAGTAGTCGGATAGACTCCATGCGTGCTTCCGGCGCAAAGACTTCGTCGAAGTCGACGCCCTTGCGCTGGACAAAGTCTCGGGTGATGAGGCGCGCCTTGTGCTTGACAATGGCGCCGCGCTTCAGGCCAATCGGACGGCATCCTGGAGATGGATCGACGAGCTCCCAAGTCTCATTTTCCTCGATCGCCTTCATCTCCTCCAACATCGCCTGTCACTAATTTGCATCACGCTCGGCTAGCGTGAACGTGGGTGGTTCCTCTACACTGACGAGAAGCAGCTCTGGGTCATTGAGCAGCCGACCCGCCAGGCCTGAGGACCCTGTGCCGCCGACGATGTCGTCCATCCTGCGGAACTGCACCTCCTCACCGTCGTGGAATGCATCCACGAACTCGGTGATGTCGCTCGGAGGTGAGGCGAACACGATCGGCGTCGATAGTCCCCTGTTCCGCCAGAGTGGTTGGCACAGCACCTGGAGTGCTCGGCACCCCAGCTATAGTGCTTGGCACTACTCCTGGACCGCTCGTCACCACTCCTGTAATGGTTGGCACCACTACAGGAGTGCTCGGCACCAGTCTTGGAGTGGTCGGCACCACTGGAAGACTTCTTGGCTCCGCTACGGGAGCGTTCGACACCCGTCCTGGAGTGGTCGGCACCACTGCAGGACCGCTTGGCACCGTTACGGGAGTGTTCGGCACCCATTCTGAAGTGGTCGGCACCACTGCAGGACCGCTCGACACCACTCCTGGAGTGCTCGGCACCCCTCCTGAAGTGCTCGGCACCATCCCAGGAGTGGTCGGCTCTGTTGCTGGAGTGGTCGGCACCTCCTCTCCAGCGTCTCCACCACCATGGATGACCAAGTGCTCGACGACAAAGGTGCTGGTGAAGCCGCCAGCTTCCCCCATGCCCGGACTGTCCTAGTCCTAGGCCACCTTCTCGTCGAACACGACGTCGCGCAAGACAACCACCTTGCCTCCACGTGGGTCGTAGAGCCGGTATGCCTTGGTACCCTCCTCGTAGCCTAGAAGCATCATTGGTGTGCTCCTGTCCTCCAGCTTGGTGAGGACCGGCTTCATCTTTCTGACGTGGCCGATATAGCCGAATGTCCGGAGGAAGGACACGCTCGGCTTGCGCCCATACCAAGCTTCGAACAGCGTCACACCCTTCAGGGCCTTTGTGGGCGCGCGGTTGAGGATGAACACCGTTGTGGTCACTGCCTCTCCCCAGAACCTTGCCGGCATGCTTTTGGCCTTCAATCATGGATCGAGCCATGCCGACCACCGTCTGGTTCCGCCGCTCCACCTCGCCATTCTGCTGTAGCGAGTACGGCGCGGTGTGGCACCACACCCTGATCGACGTAGTATGTAGCAAACTCCACCGAAGTGAATTCACCGCCGCGATCAGTCCGCAGCACGCGTAGCTTCTTGCCGCTCTCCGCCTCCGCGCACGCCTTGAACTTCTTGATCGCATCCGCCGCCTCATCCTTGCTCGTCAGGAGTTGCAAACACATATAGCGACTGCAATCATCCACAAGCAGGAGGAAGTACCGTCGACCACCGTTTGTGGCTGGCGTAATTGGCCCACAGAGATCGCCGTGGACGAGCTCGAGAGCGTCCGCCGCGCGATACTTGGCCACCTTTGGGAACGACAGCCTCCTCTGCTTTCCGGGCAGGCAGCTGTCACATAGCTCGCCTGTGTGCTTGATGTGGGGCAGCCCTCGGACCATCTTCTCCAGCCAACCGAGCGCGTCAAAGCTGAGATGGCCGAACCAGGCATGCCACAACCATGGCTCCTCGGTGTGCCATGCTGCCAGGCACACCTGCTGCTCCATCTTCAAGTCGAGCAGGTACAATCGATTACATGAGCGTTTTACCTTCGCGAGAAGACAGCTCCCGATCCCGAATCTTCAGGATCCCGCTCTCGATCAGTACCTCGCATCCACGCTCGTCTAGCTGCCCGATGCTTGAACACAGTTGCGGGATGTAGTACACATCCGTCAGCGCATAGTGCTCACCATTCTGGCATCTGAAGATGATGATGCCACGCCCTCGGATCGCCACCCTTGAGCCCTCACCGAACTTCACCATGGCGGACACGTTGCCATCGAGCTCGGAGAAGGCTTCCTTGGAGCCCGTCATGTGGTTGCTGGCGTCGGAGTCCAGGTACCACCGTTGTTCCTGCTCGTTGCCCACACGTCCGAGGTGGACTTGGGCACGCGGTTCGTCGAGGTTGACAGCCTTCAGAGCCTTGCCGTGCCCTTCCACCGCCATCACCTCCCCTTCTCCTTGGCCTCAACGTCGTGCAGTGCACAGAACGTCGCCATCAGAAGAGTGGCCTCATCATCCTCATCAGTCTGCGCTAAATTAGCCTCAGCCTTCTTCTCCTGCTTGCAATTTAGGCACTTCTTTGCTCAATGGCCCATCTTCCCGTAGCGTCGGCAGGCGTTGGGGTCGACCTTCTTCTTCTTCTTCTCGAAGAAGCC